TTCCTCATCTCTAAAATATTTGTGGGCACAAAGTGCATATGTGGTTTCATTTGCCTACTGTGCAGAAAGAAAGCCCACGGGGGTTGCTAATAAGTGAAACACAACTTCCCTGTCTCACAGTTTGCTGATGTTTCCAGATGATTGGAGCCGAAGCCTGTGGGTGAGCGATCCCCAGGCTGATCACACGTGGTGGGGGAAGAGTGTCCTCGCCACAGACTTTAAATTCCAGGCGAGTCTGGTCAGCTTCTCACGCTTTTAGCATTTACAGTGAAAATCACAAGTTACTCTCTTGCCAGATCACTAAATTAGCAAACTGATGAAATAACACCATACAAAATGCCAGTTTAGATATTACGATGGCAGAGGCGCTTGCCAGCGCTACCCCGAAGTGCTGTAAGATTGCACGGGAGGCACAACCTGGGGGGAAATAAAGCATTTTCTCCACCAGCGAATCAATTCAGTATTTCCATCCCTTCTTGATGAACCCTAACTCTCCTGAAATTGCTTGGAGGTTTGGAAATGAGCAACACAAGAAAACACTTCCGTCTTAGTGTTCCCGGGCGGGAGGTCTTTTTTCCTCTTCCAAAGAGCTAAAGGATGTTGATAGATTTTTTGGGAAAGATACCAACTTCTTTTTAGTTCTGTGAAAGGGAAGTGAGACAAAGCTTGCAGTTTTTAAAACTCTAAGCACTTGTGGAGGTGCCGGGATAATACAGGGCACCTTGGTAAGGAGTGAGCCCCAACGTGTGGAAGGCCGAGTGGTCAGACTGGCTGGGCTCAGGTACAGCACCTGTCTAGCAGGTGCAAGGCCCCGGGTTCCTTCCTCTGTGCTGAGGAGGAGGAGGAGAGGAAGAAAGGGAAGGAGAAGGAGGGGGACCAGGAGGTGGCGTCCCTCAAATGATCTCTCCTGGGACTGTTACTTACTGCCTCTATTGGGGTCTAACTGGTACTTGGTCAAATGTGTCAATTGTAGGCTCGGTACGAGGACCTCTTCCCGCGTCTACACCCGAGACTCCCATCCGTTTTTTTCTTTCTTTTCCTGGTACTGGGACTTGAACTCATGGCCTTGCACTTGCCAGGCATGCACTGTTCCGCTGAGCTGCATCCCTGGCCCTACCAGGACTCCCATCTGAATCAGGACTTGGACCTTGTGTGTCACAAGGGGGTCTGCTGGTGCCCTCTGCAGGCGCAACCCTCTCTCTGCAGTGATCCCGGGGGTGGGGTGTATCACTCAGCACAGGAGGAGGCTCCCAGGACGTGGGCTGTGAGCTGAACAAGTGAGCCGCATAGGTGCTGTTGTGTCCGGCTGGCGCCCTTCCTCCACCATGGAGCTTTGTGCACTCAGTGCCCCTCTGCTAGCCCAGAGGATTCGTATCCATGCAAACACTGATTGTCTGCCCACTCTGCCTCTCATTATCTCTAATGCCCACACCGGAGCTGTTAGGACCAATTGCAAACATGCAGGGGCCAGGTCCAACTTCCCAGCCCCCTGAACAGAGTGGCTCTCCGGGCATCACACCCAGAGTGACAGCGTCTGTGTGCACCAGCTGTCAGACCTGGGCCACCTGCTGGCACCAAAGACTCCTGTTTATGGGGACAATGGAGAAGGTAGGTGACTGAGGTCCACTTGGTCCACACGGCCTGGGCCCCTTGCAGGGTGTGGGGTGCCGCCTATGGCAGGAGCTTGTAAAATGTTAGTTCCCATCCTTCCTGAAGCTCCTCTCTGGAAGCCACAACTCAAAAGCAAATTGAGTGGTTTTCTTCAATAGGGGCACCTGCGTGTAATCTGATTTCCATAATTACTCTCCAAATGTCAAATGCTTGCAGGGCAACAGAGGAGTGAGGTGTGCGGAAGGGGTACCCTAAGAAGCAGGGGGCTGACTTGGTGGGAGCAGGAACCCAGCACCTCTTTCTGCATCTCACTGAACTCTTTTCATTAAAAACTGGAGCTTTCCAACTTCAGGTTAAGATTTTCATTTGCTGCTCTGTACAATAATTTGGAAAGTCATTTTAGTTGGACTTCCTGGAGAGAAGGCTGCTTCTGCCAATCCGCCAGGAGCAGGGGGCCGGGAAGGAGGAAAAGCTTTTAGGGTTTAGACCTTTGTCCTTCTTTCCTCACATCCTGAAGACAACACCAACTAATTCACAGGCATCAAGCAAGCTTTGGATTGTTGTGGGTGACACAGAGGAGGCAAAAAGCCATTATGACTGTAATCGAAATGAATCTTCCAAACCACATTGAAGAAGAAATCGTCCTATTTTCCACCCAGAGAGGTGCAAAGAAAAGAGAATAGATGCACGCAAGGCTTTCAGCCTGAGGTTGCAAAAGATGTCTCTCAGCCCAGGAAATGGGATGATCGTGAACATCACCAAATAGTGGCTGCGTTATGGGATGTTTCTTAGTGAGAGGTTCTGTGGTTGCACTTAAAAAACAATTCCACGTTGATACAGCTTTAGTTCTACAGAATTCCAGCAAAGCAACTCGTGTGTGAGGCCCAGGCCAACTCCTGGGTCGCAGTGACTCCTGCTTGCAATATGGGGGTAAGGGGTGTTAGGCTTTAGGTGTCTTTCAGAGAACTTCCTTCATGTTGCAGTGGCATTTAAAAAACATATTTACTTTTGGGTTTCAGAGACAGGGTCTCACTACGAAGCCCAGGCTGCCCTTGAATTTGTGGTGATCCTCCTGCCTCAGCCTTCCCAGAGCTGGCATTATAGCAGTGTGCCACCACTCCCAGCTGTAATGGCGTTTTAAAAAGTAGGATTCGACCTGTCTCTGCAGTGTTCACTTTAGCAATTACCAAATAAAAGTTGTCCATTCTGTGTGTTCATTGGGAGCCTGAGTCCTGGGTGAGATATTCATGCCAGCCATTCCTCAGCAGGTGCCTATCAATCTCTTTCCTAGATGCATTTCCCAGGGACATCCCCCACCCCCACCCCATCCTGGGCAGTCGCCCTCCACCTGGGGTCTGGCGGGGCATTGGGGCTGGGGGCATCAGCATGGAGCATCCAGCGTTCGGGGATTTCTAGATGAGAGGGTGTGCACAGTGCCTCAGATTCTCAGAGGCCAGAGTCCCCCTGGGCTGAATGGCAGTTTCTCTCCTGGATCTAATTAATTCATTAATTTATTTATTTACTTAGTGAGTTATTTATTTTTTTGAGACAAGGTCTTGCTATGCAGATCAGGCTGGCCTCAGACTCCTGAGTGCTGGGATTATGGGTGTGACCACCACACCCAGCTAGAAAGCGGAGATTTAGATACAGACATCCGCACACAGACAAAGCCACAAGAAGACAGAGCAACTGGAACGAAACTGCTATCAGTCAGGAACTGCCGAAGATGGTCAGCAAATCACCAGAACCTCAGGAAAGGACTGGGAATAGGTTCTCTTGAGAGCACCAGAAAGGAAGCAATGCTGCTGGGCCCATGCTCTGCATTTCTGCCCTCCCAGGCGTGGGGAAATCCACTTGTGCTGCTCTGGACTCAGGTCCAGCCCTGTGTTCCCCTTACCCACAGTTTCAGTTACCTGGGTCAACCATGGTCCCACATGGAAAATGAAAAATTCCATTAGTCAAAAGTCAACAAAACAAGTCATTAGTGTGTGTGTGTGTGTGTGTTCTGAGACAGGGTCTTGGTGTGTAGTTCAGGCTGTCTGTGAACTCTGTGTAGCCCAGGCTGGCCTGGAATTCACTGCAATTCTCCTGCCTCAGCCTCCTGAGTGCTGGGATTACAGGCGAGTGCCACCACGCCTGGCACAAGCCATCAGTTTGATCACAAGCGTAAGGAAACCTGCAGCTGTCCCACTCTGTGCTGCCTGGGCTGTGAGTCATTCCTTTGTCCAGAGAGGGACCTTGGGCTGGGGATTTAGCTCAGTGGTTCCGCTGCCTGCCTTGCAAGTGGAAGAACCCGAGTTCGATCCCCAGTACCAAAAAAAAAAAAATACAGAAAGGGACCCTGGGGTCTGAGTGTACTTGTGTCCAAGGGACCCTTATTGGACTTCATTATGGCCCGGAAGCACAAGATCAGCACGGAAGGACAGGCTGACGCTACAGTGTGGCAAACAGTGTGCACCGGATTCAGCATCACCGCAGCCTCAGGCATCCACGGGGAGACAGGAACGTGTCCCCAAGTGACGGGGAACTGTGTTCGCGCCTCTTCCTCTACTGAACGGAGGGAAGGTTATTCCGTCCGTGCCCCAGCTCAAGTCCCTGGCTTTACAAGTTTCCTCCGCCCAGTTCCTCCCCAAGTCCCCATCACTGCATCCGGGTCCCTGGGGGTGTGTATCGCGCTGAATGGAAGGAGTTTACTGCAGGGTGCAGGCCCCGAAGCTGCGGATGGGCGCACCCTCAGCTCAGAGCGCACGCCGGGCCGTTGAGGTGGAGCTGGCTTCTGCCCCGCCGGTGCCCTCTGATACCGTTATCTCGGGGTGGGGGGAGCCGCCCACGCCACCCATGCCACCCGCTCCCCTCCCGCTCCTGCCAGTCCTGGCCTCTCCGGAACCCCTCACTCGCTCCTGTCCGGCCTGGGCCTCCTCCAAGCCCACCGCCCGCAGCCGGCCGCATCACCTCGGGGAACTGTGTCCCAGCCCGGACCCCTTTCTGTCCCCATCTCCTACCCACAGCTAGGCCAGCTAGGCCACCTTCCCTCCTAACAGGGCGCCCCGCACCCGTGGGGCCTCCTCTCCGGGGCACCCCCGGTTTTACCTCCAGTGGGGTCTCCAAAACCACTCCACGAGGTCCCCCGAGAGCGGGTGGGGGGTCCCCCAGAGCCATGCGCCCTAAGTCCTTTCCACCCAGAGTCAAGCCCCTGTGCTGTTCCTAACAGATGCTAGCAGCCGCGGTGACACGCGTGTGGCTTCCGGGACGCGCCGAGGGCGCACGCGGGGCTGGGGGGGGGCGGGGGCTCGCAGGGCACCTCTCCCCCCGCCCCCCCGCGCGGCTCTCGGGCTCTCGGGCTCCCTGGAGCGGGGCGGGGCGGGGCGGGGCGGGGCTGGCGGAGGGGAGGGCGGTGCCTCAGGGCCCCTCCCGGGCCGGCGGCGGCGACTCTGCGCCCATGTCCTCCACGCAGCCGCGCTCGCCCACCTCGCGGGCCGCCAAGATGAAGAAGGACGAGTCGTTCCTGGGCAAGTTGGGCGGCACGCTGGCCAGGAAGAAGAAGGCCCGGGAGGGTGAGTGGCCGCGCCGGCCTCCGCGACCTCGGACCTCGGATCCCGGGAACTCACGGCCGGCGCCGAGGCCGCGAGCCGAGCGCCCG